GAGAAAGAAAAGAAAAATAAAGCGCTTGCCTCTTGCAATGCTCTGAACACACAAAGTGGTTTCTCTTTCCTGGTTTTACAAGCAAAGATAACCACTAATATTCCTTAACTAGCATCAAGAGCTAAACCCCATTTTCCACAGAGCCACGACTGGCAGGCATGCAGGTGCACAGTACAAGTAGTTCGCTGTCCCTTATAAATACAGGAAAAAATACAGTTATCTTAATCCAAAATTCCTGGAAGAATAAAAAGTTTCTTTGCCGTGATGCAATACTATAAATACTACTGGCTCAAAGCCAGTACACAAGAAACCTGTCTTTATTAAAAACACAGGGCTTTATCAATTCCTTCAATGACTCTTGAGTTATCGTAACTTCGTTTTAGTGTGGGAAGACTCAGAAGTCTGGATAGTTTTATCCAAATTGTTTTTATAGAAATCAGCCTGCAATCGTACTTGGTCACAAGATTTTCAGTAACTGGTTTATCTGGAAATATGATCAAAACAAAACTTCTTGCAAGACAGATTTCCGCACTAACTGGAAATACAAAAAAAAAAGAAAAAATACAGACTTTTTCTGAACCTCTTAGAAGATTTGGGCTGAACTTAATCCTGAAATAAACATTTAGACCTTTACCACTTCATGAAACTTCAAAGTCTGATAAATATTACTCAAAACAATACTTTCCCTTAGCTGTGGTTTACATACATGCAATAATATAACCCCTTCTCCCCATCCACTGCTTAAAAATAGGAGGAAGGAAGCTTTATGAAAGAAATCCCAACTTATTCACAAAAGCTGCCTACAACAACAAAGACATTTAAGAGATGTAAACATTTTTCAATGATCCACAGGAAGGGCATGTAATAATTTTGATAAACAATATGACTGCCTTAGAGCTGAGAGAGAACATGCACCCTGAAAGGGCTCTGAATCAGACTGTCACCACAAACCTTGGCTTGCTTTGGTTCACTTTGCTTTTTACAGATCACTGTCAACTTGAAATATTTTATATATGGCAATGAGCAAAAAGCACTTTTGGATTCTCCACGTGCTCATCAATAACTCTCCAATTTTTTGTGATTTATAATGCTGCTTCCTGGCCTTCATTTCTTGCTCTCCCTTGCCTCTTTAAGAGCCCCCCGGCAGCAGCAGGGGAGGACGGCTGGAGGCATTGAGTGCAAAGCCTGGTACGCTGCCGAAAGCTTAAAGTAAACAAGCTGAAACAGGAGAAGAAACCTATTAACTGCTTTCCAGTCTTGAGCTACTTATTGCAAAATTGGTGAATGGAATAAACGATGGCAAAAGGGACATTAAATACGTCGCAGGTTTGTTGCTAGATTACTTATCTAGAGATTAGCCAGCCAGACAGGACAGTAAGAAAGCCCAGCTGGTGCTCCGAGCTCAGTGGCCGTATCCTGGTCCACAAAAGATGTTTTGGAATTGCTTTTCTCACATAGTCCAGCATGAGCGGTTTGTCATATAAAAAAATGTTCGTATTTCAAATTTTATCTTTATTTATCTATGCAATCTATAGGTTCAGAAACTATAGTCTTAAAAAGCCTGTTCACATTATGTATTGGACAGGAGTCCCTTGAACTGTGCACCATAATGCATGAACTGCAGCTTCCCTTTTCGATAAGACATGGCAGTTTTTGGCTTTTGAGAGCTTAGATAACAGCAGTAGGATTTCGTTAGCATGGATGGTTGCCTGAAAGCCAATAATTGCTATGTCTCCTTGATTTGCTGGCCTGAGCAGGTGACATAGTGATCAGTCCACGGACTTTATCAGGTAAACAGAGCCCATTTTCTTTTCTTCCATTAGCACGCTGTGCATCAGGATTGCACAGATGAACTCCAACTCTTCTGAATAATTGTTGGAAATAACGGCATTACACCTGCTCTTTTGGTTACATCAAGTGTGGAAAGTTCTTATACCTTAATAACAGATAAGGTTTTGGATTTGTTGCTATGTGTGAAATGCTTCCATGTGCATTTTCTTAATTCATTTCTTCTACTTAAGCATCAAGTACTAGCTACCCTTGCAGAACAAACACAGAGCTAGAGGAGCTGGGCATGACAACTGTTACAGTATGTGTTTAAGTAACATCCATATTGTTGAAAGATTCATAAAGGAAGACAAAAAATGCCTGTTCTGAAGTGTTTGCCAGCCAAGGAACAAAACCAACATAAGTAAATGGGAGAACAGGTATAGAGGGTAAACATGCAACGTACTTCATTCCTCTGCCTCTGACTATTTGAATTATAGACTTAAATTTTTCAAGAGGGATACTGAAGAAGGATTTAATCAATGGGAAGATATCCAGTGAGAATGTCTCATGCAAGTTTCAGTACAGAAGATGTCAGAAGTGGATATGAAGGCCAGCATGCTGAAGTAGTCGGCAAATACCTATTCAGTTTCCCCTGAATGCTTCACCTTTCCTCCTTCTACTCCACCTTCCAACCTCTGCCCTTACAACCCACCTCTGCCTCCTACTGATATTCCCTCCTCCTCCTCCTCCTCCTCATCAAAATTAGGTGGAAGTTTAACCAGCCTAGAACTACTTCTAAGGGGTATCTAAGTCATTCCTGGTCTTTGGGACCAGCTTCAAGAAGTGGGATTGAGACAAGCAAAATTCAGCATCTTGAACATATGCAATTTTCACAGCTACCATTACAGGTTAGTATATAGATCTAGTGTTGACACATTATTTTCTAGAACATAATTTCTCTCCAGTTATGGCTCTAACACTAGAGCAACAATGATAGGCTTCCATACGAATCCAACATATGCTCGCTTTCTAAGTAAATACTAGCTGAAACCTGAATAAAATACTTACGCTTTAGGATATTTCTTTGCTCTAGCTCTTCAGTTGTAGGCCTCTGGCTAAGTCTCCTGTGAGAACAAAGTAAGGGACTGATTTAAAACCAGATCCAAATAACACATTATGATTTGTAATACAGCTTAAAAGGTGTTTCTCATAGGGCCATGCTATTCTTTGCCAGCAGAGGTATTTAACAACACAGGTAATTTCCAGACACAGTTATAATAACTGTGCATGTAAGCACAGTACCGAGTGGCCATTTGTTTTAAAAGATGTACTATTGCCACTCAAACACATAAATAACTGATACTTGCATAATATTACAGAAATTGTACCAGCAAATTTAAATTCCTCATTTACAGGTAGAATTTTATGAAAGAGTTCGTAAACCTTTTTTGTCCCCAAACACCATAATTATGATAAGTTGTGCAATTGTAAGATTATTCTCAGATATTTTGAATGCAAATCCTATTCATTATTTAAAAAAAAACCCAACCCATAACATAAGCTGTGCATTCCTCACTGATTTGTACGTACAATACAATTGGGAGTTTTAATTGAAAGTTAATTTTATTTAGTTACCTATAAATAACAACTTCCATTAAAAAAAGCCCTGAGATATTAATTTGCTGGTTTGTATAGTGGAGAACATGTTTGATATTGTCTCTATGTTTACTACACAGGTTCACTTGTTCACTTGAAAGAAGGAGAAAGAAAAATTTCAGCAGTAACATTAATTTTGCAGATGTGTTAAAGATAGATGCCTCTCTGTCCAGAAAGCCTCACACAGTTCACTACAGATTATCTTTGGCCTCATGAAACCCATCTCATTCAAACTGTGCTTAGACTTTCAGATTTGGCGAGGAGGACTTTCACCCCAAGTGACCAGCCCCTGCTGTAGGAAGTCCCAGGCTGGGACCTGACCCAACCCTGACCAAACTATGGGAACAGGTTTCCCATCTGCCGGGTGCTGACCACCACGCCAGGAATTTTTAAGGAACTGGCGTCAAACTTGGTTCTGATTTCAGGCATGAACACAGCCCTGACATGCACGGATATTGTCTCCTGCCACCAAAGCAGAGCTGTGTGGGGAGCGTGCCAGCTTCCCAGCAGAGCCAGCAATGTCCCTGTGCAAGGAGCTCAGGACAGGGAGCGGAGCGGCTTCTGCAATTCAAGCCCCCAAAGGAGCACCGAGAAGCACGACGTGATCACTGGAGCTGGGATTCGGTCAGGAAAACAGTGATAACAACCATGCTGCTTTATTAGCATTAGAAAAATGACCCTTGGGCTCTACACAATAGATAGATCACTCTTATGGTTAAGGGATGATATAAATGACTTAGCCAGCCACCCGATTCACAGAGCAACTCAGCTCATCCCCCAAGTGCTGAGGCAGGACTGTCATTCTCTGTACTGGAGCAGTGCCAGCTGGACTACCCAATATCTGAAATCTCCAACAAACACAGGACATCCTCCAAATCTGCCTGGACAACCTTTCTGAGCACAAGCGAAACAAGGACAGGTCTGGGAAAATCCAGACATGTTGTAGTGTATTCTCAGAGACCATGAAAGCCAAAATTAACACTTATGAGGATTTTTTTTTAAAAAGCTTGTAAAAATGCAAGTGAAAATTAGTCTTTTTTATGCAATGTCCTCAAGTCCAGGAAGAGAAAGTATATATCCCATAGCAAATAAACAGCATGAGAAAGACATGCCTCAGAGGTGAGCAGAGTAAAACACTGAACACTGACCTACAAAGTCAGCCTCCCTCCATTTCTTTTGATGGAACCAGCACATGAGTAATGAAGGAGTCATAGAGCAGGAGGAGGATGAGGAGGGCCAGGAGGGTTGAACATGCACAGGCATGCTCTGTGTGTCAGGAACTACTACTCTGTCTGAGATGGGGATATACAAGTGCAAGTCCCTGTTAACCAATGTGACAAAAAGCTTGAACCATGGCACTGATTATTCTGGAGTCACTCTTACTCTCTTCCTCTTTTTTAAAAAAACACCAAACAACCCAAAACCCCGGAAGCTCTCGGATTTGTTGCTTGCAGAACAAAAATGCATTATTCACATTTTAAAGTTTTTTGAGAAATAAAAATACTGTTTTCCAGGCAGCTGTACCATGAAGATCCTGCACCACACATTGGGCTGCATTTAAAACGTGAACCCAGTGTTCTTGATTCTTTTCCTCCACCTCTGCATTGTGAAACCACATTTACCCTGCCACTGATACCTCACTAGCTTCGTTCCAATCTGATGTCTGATTTCCTGCCTCTCCTCTTCAGACGTACGCTGCAAGATGTTTTTGTCTTCTAATTCTTTCTTAGATGGTCTGTTGCCAAGTTTGATAGCAAGAGTATCCCTGCGACGAATTTTACTTGCCAAAGAGCCTGAGGAAAGGAGGAGGAGGGTAGATTTAGTTCATTCATGCTTAGGTTACAGACACAAACTCTGAGTAAGAACTTTAATACCTCCCCAAAGCAGCCTTGTTCCCACATGCAAGAGAGGAATTTGAATTAACATCAAAAGAAAAATAGTTTTAGTTCAGTTCGCAACAATAAAAAGCTGAAAGGCTTGGATGAAAAAGCTGCCAGCTAAATTGACAGAAGAGATTTACAAACATCACTTGTCATCTGTGAAGTGATAGGATAAAAATGACAAATCTACACTTATGTGTCTTTGAAGTCTGATACAGTACAGGTTGGTTTAATTATCTACTTAGTATATTTAGCAAGCTGCTGCTCTTTTCTTCAGCCTTAAAGAGGTTTAGTCTCATTCTCTCATCTTTTCCCTCATTCTTTCAATTTATTTTTCAATCTAATACCACTTAGTTCTTGTATAGTGCTTTTCATCTTTAACTCATTTGTAAATTAAAACAAAAAATACAGTTTAGAAAAGTGCTCTGAGTGCTTGTAAAGTAACCTAGGCAGGAGCCCCTAGGCACTGAGGCAATCTCTTTATCCATAAAACAGATACAGTAGGGACAAGGGCCGTGCAATTTTGCCAGCGTTAGCTTCAGCCAGCTGTGGAAGGAAGAATATTTTTCATGGCCTTTAGTCCTTCCCTTGTCTCTTGATATTCTGACCGAGAGGGCTACATATGTACCAGGTCGGCAGGCTTTCATGACAGACAGGTAAGACCACAGGCTCCCAGCTCACTTCTCATGAAACACTGTGCTGCTGTCTGAATACATGAATTTTTGGTTGCTACCACTTTGGATCATATTCAAACCAAACACAGAGCTGCAGAAGACTTCTGTCTCTTGAGCTAGCTGGCACTTCACCTTCTGCTGCACCAGTGTCCCAGGAAAAAAAAAAAAAAGTTCATTTTCCCTCACTCCCCTTCAGCACACAGCCCTTTTGTGTTCAGGCCTTCTTCACTAGGCACAGTGAAATACCTCCTGCTGCGGGCAAGGGTCTCAAGCCATGGTTTGATGGTCATTTTATTCTGACATAAGACCACCCTAGAGGTGGTAGGGGTAGGGTTGCCCTCCTCTCTACCCCTGACAGATTGTGGCTGCCACCTCCTGTGCTCCAGCAAAGGTGCAACCATGTGGTGAGGTGGAT